AGTTTGGTGCACAAAACTCGGCGTCAGACACTGGCTGACGCCCCCCCCCCTCTCTCTCTCTCTCTCTGTCTCTCGAGAATGAATTTTCCTCTTTATCGAGGAAGATTCATTCTCGTTGGACAATGTTGTTGTTGTTGTTGTTGTTGTTGTTGTTGTTGTTGTTTTTTTTTGTTTTTTTTGCAGAATGTTGTGTTTTTGTTTTTTTTGTTTTTTTTGTTTTTCCGTTCTGCACTACCGGCTGTCCGAGGCTCGGCAATAAAGTCCGAGGCCTGGAAACGACCGGGCTACCGGTAGCCTGAGCCACGGGCCTTGACAACCGGTAGGTACTGGTGGTTTGAAACTGGGCACAACTCCCTTTTTAATTTGGGCCAATATTCTGAATCTGATTTGACATTTCCATGCATTTTGCAGAACCGCCACTACTAAAACAAGTGCGGCGGAACCAGGGTACATACTACATTGGTTGTTCATCGACACATGGTGAGCCTCTCTCTCTCTCTCTCTCTCTCTCTCTCTCTCTCTGTGCAAGGGCTTGAGTGAGACGAACACTGTTTCATTTCATTTCATCTCCCAGCAGCGAGCCCGCTAAGAGCTTAAGAGGGAGTGTCCCGACTTTTTCGTGCCCAGAATATTTGATGAAAAAAATGAGAAGAAACAGGAACATAAATTAAGTCTTAATCGTTTCAAAATTCTGTTTTCTTTTTTTTATAAACAATGAGCGGAAAATTTGTGGTATGCCCTTCAAAGATGACTTTATTCGCACCATGACCAAGCAGGTGCTTAATGGGGGCCTGAATTTTCATGAACTGCAATCCCAGTTATAACAAAACCCAAAGGTCTTCTTAAACCAGCAGTACTTCAGAAGCACTGTCCTCTGAGGCTGGAAACACTTTGTGGACTTAAAAAACCGAACAGGCGGTGGCCTCCTTTTGGCTGGTGCCGCCAGCCATTTTGCATCGGAGGCCAAGCCCCAAAAGCTGCGGCAGCAGCATGCAAGCCTTGACTGGTGTGGTGTAACCAAACTTGCCACAAATACATTTTCATCACACCAGCCTTGGCCTTGAACAAAAATAGCCAAAACCAAAAAGAAAGAGAAACACAATCATACCACAATTGACCCCCAGACCCTAATTTCCGTTTTGGATCCATTAACCAGGAGCTGAAAGTGGGGTATTTTAACCACTAGTGCCATACCGTCGGACACTGGGATATTTCCGGCCAGCACCTGTCGGTCGAAGGGGCAACTTTGCACTAACCCCTTGCTGGACTGACAGCCACGTCAGCTCATCCGCTGGGGCGCAACTTTTCCACATGCCCCCCCTCGCCTTTGGCGATGACTTGATGGCATGGGTGCACATGTGCTCGCCTCACACAGACACAGATGCATGCACACACACACACACACACACACACAGAGAGAGAGAGAGAGAGAGAGAGAGAGAGAGAGAGAGAGAGAGAGAGAGAGAGAGAGAGAGAGAG